TACAAACAGGTAAAGGACACGTATAATGATGATAACACATTGTAACTAACAATATTTGTTGTAATTTGATTTATTAAATCACCAATTGAACTTTTATTTGTGGTGTTACACAAAATATTAAATTACATTCAACACAATTAAATCTAATGTTATAATATCTTTATATACAAATAAATAAGTGTTATTACAGTGTGGACAAAATAATCTATTTAAGCATTATAATGTTAATTACAGAATAATTTTGACAACTCAGAAAATGTTCATTTTTTTAATTGACGTTTTAAAAATTATATTTGCTTCCAACATAAAGATGTTATAAACACAAATTATCTGATTTAGCGACGCCATTTTTAATGTTTGTTAAAACAAAACTTAAACATTGATAAAAAAAATTTTTAAGTTTTTAAAAACAACTTTATATGTGACTTTTTAACCTGTATAAAATAAAACGACAATATTTTTATAATGTTATATTAGCCTTATTGTTTGCTAAAGTAAATATATTATTATACATTTTTTGAATATTTGTTGTAACTTAAATATTTGTTTGAATATTTTAACATAACAATCAATCCACATATTCAATTATGATATTATTATCTCCCCCTTTAAAACTATATTGACTGAATTTGATTGATCTTCTCATGTTTTTGACAATTTTCAAATTTTTACAATCGCAAAAAGTGAAAAGTTCAATTTTGTTCAGATTTTTTCCCATCCAAATCTCCGTCAAATTTGTAGATTTAAAATACAAATTTTCAATCACGTTGACTTCATCTGGTATAATCAGAATTCCTTTTGAATCGATCCAATTTGGATCAATAGAAAATAACACAACATCGCCTTCAAATTTATATTTGTTTTTAAGTAACTTGTAAATAGTAAAATCAATTTTTTCATTAAAAACAAAATCAAATGGCATATTTGGAAATTCTATGTTTTTGACATTAAAACAATTTTCAACCATAAAAGTTTTAGTGACTTTTTGGTTTAAAAAAGTGACTGACGTAAGTTCGTAACAATTTGATATTTTAAATTTTTTGACAGGCGCGATACAAAGTTCTTTGAGACTTGAATGAACAAAACACGTGTTTTTCAACACTTTAAAACAAGTTGGAAAAACAAGTTTTGTTAAATTTTTATTATTTTGAAAAGCATTGATGTTCATCATTGTGATTCCCTCCGGAATTTTAATTTCATTAAAATTATAATTTTCGAAATTCACGTTGTGGCAAATTATTTTAAGTTTATAAAAATTTGAAGGAATAATTCCATTGAACAATTCAACATCTTTTTGAGTGTAACAAAATTTGACAATTTCCAGATTTTTCTCGTCGAACATTTCTTTCATCCAACACGCAGCTCTCGCGTCAATATTTTGAGTGTTGATCGCATCGATTTTTTTCAGTCCAGTATAATCATATAAATTATTAATTTGAATATTATTATTTAATGTTATTGCAGTGAGAAAAGTCATGTCATATTGACTTCCAAAAAACATCACATGCGACAAATCAAGTCGTTTCATATCACAACCACTAAAGGCATTTTCTTCAATAACAGTCACAGTGCTTGCAAGATTTATATCGGAAAGTCCTCTTCTGTTTTTGAACACTAGAGTTTCAATTTCGTCCGATAAAAAATCTGGCAAAATATTGTTGTTTTTGTCGTAACGTGTGGTGACTGTTTTATGTTTGATATTACAAAATGCATTTGAGGAGGATGCCGTAATATCAAAATCAACACTTTTTACTCCGGGTGCTGTAACATTTTGAATTGATGTTACATTTTTAAATGGTGTTTTTGCACTTTTTGTGATGTTTGTACCCAAAGTTATTGCACTTAAACTGTCACACCCACAAAAACAATACTCCCCAAACACTCTAACGTGTTTCAAATTAATTTCTTTTAGTTTTATACAATTGCAAAAACAGTAGTTTGAAATTTCATACAAATTAGTTGACAGTGTTATTGCGACCAATGAAGACATAAACTCAAAACATGATACGCCAAATTTTAAAGTGTTTGAACAATCCATTTCACTAAATTTGGTTGATTAATAAAACGTTTTGTCTAAGAAAATAGTTGCTTTTTTATAGGATAAGGCGTGATATTCATAAGTATCGGTATAAATTATCTGTGGACATATAACACGCCGTCCTTTGTTGTTTATTTGTAAATATTTGTTAAGAGGAATTGCGTAGTGTATATAATACTGACGATATTTTGTTATAAATTTGTCTTCATTATTATATAGGTGCAGTGTCTCGACATTTGGAAAATATTTTTGTGTTTTGAATGTAACTGAAACTGGATTAAAGTGAAACATATCGGGTATTTCTTGGAACTTTTTACATACAAACATCATGTTTTTATAATCAATTATACTACTGAAATATTTCGAAACTATCATCATCGAGTAGCGATCGAATTTGATACTCATTATTGTGTTGTATTTATCAGTTTGAAGTCGATATAAATAAAAATATGTGATGATTTATTGTAATAATTTTTTATTATGATTTTTATTATATTTATAATTGTTTTTTGTTATAATAATTTACTAAATATTTAAAAAAGTGCAAAATTCAACCAAGCGTTTCCAAAATGATTATAGCCGAAAATGTGGTATTATAACGTACGAATTTATAAGAGAAAATAAACATTATGGTTATAATATAGTGACGTGGGTAAATAGGATTCTGATTTTAAAAACTCTGGTTCAACGAACTGTGCACTTTCTCAAAAAAAAAATTAATTATAATTTTAAATAAATCTGAATCAATAAACTACTATAATAATTAATGAAAAAACGGAAAATGCTATATTTTTATAGTTATTTAGTTATATTAAATAAACTATACAATTATTATTATATAATAAAAATGAACAGAAATTACAGGTATGGTAAAAACACATCAAATTGTCTTAAACCCCTCAAGTTTCAAAGTAAAATATTACGACGTTATCCCGAAAAAATACGATATAAAAATAAATACTAAAAAGTGTTGTATAACAAAAACAAAATATAGAAATAAAAATCATAAAAAACTACATTTGTTTATAATTGTTCAAGACATGATCATAACGAGTCGCGTCTCGTGTGAAACCGTAAGAAGTGACATCGAAAAACAAGTTTCAAGAACATGTTTGTGGAGTTGGCTTACAATCGTCATCCGAAAATGTTGTTTCTAAATATAAAATATTTTTTCTGGTTTTGACCAATCAATTGACGACTTGAGGGGTTTTAGGAAACTATAGGGGTTTCGTACCGACCTGTAAAAGATATTTTTCTCTTGTTGTGTTTTTTATGAGACATGTTTTACTAATACAGTAAAACCTCTCAATAAAAAATTCCCTCAACAAAACCACCCCTCAATATTAGCATTTATTGACCAATAAAATAAGTTTTCCATTATTAAGGGGTTTAGTTTTTTAATAAAAATTGTTTGAAATAATGCGTTTAATTGTAAAAGGCATATTAATGAATTGTGTAATATCATTTTATTAATTAAAAATAAGCAAATAATAATTGGTTTGACAGTTTAATACAACGACTGTTTTATTAACTTTAAAAAACCTAACCATTTGGTTACCAATTTGATTTTATAGGTCTTCATTTCTTCAACACTGTCGCGCAGACTACCAAATCTTTTTTATGTGGAAGACTTCATTTTCTACAACGCCAATAGATTTTTCATCGTCTCGTATTTCTTTTTTTATTTTTTTAAAATTTCTTCTGCTTCAATCATAGATTGAATTTCCTCACCTCTGATAGTCAATGGTTCATCTAATTTGCTCGAAGTGGGTGGAAAGTTTTTATTTACATTTTTTGGAACTGTGATGAACTTGTTAAATTGATTAAACTGAAACATTTTAATTTCACTCAGAAGTCATCTTTTTAATTCAACACCCACACGCTAACTTCACAACATTTTTAATATTTATTTTTTTGAATCATCTATTTGGTATCCTCGTGTTTTGAAGCGAGATAATAATACAATAATAACCACATAATATTATTTTGTAATGGTTTTCAGTGCTATTATTATTCTTCAATTACCTGGCCATGTCTAAATTGTGTTTGCATGTAATATATCTCAAGTTTCTAATATAAAAAATAAAAATAATGTTTGTAAAAACCAAAAATAGTTTTTGAAAGAAAACACTATTGAGGGGT